AAGTCACTCAACCTTTCTGAGCCTCGGTTTCCTCATCTGTAAAACGGGTACAATCCTATTCTTACCGAGCTCACAGGGATAAGGCAAGCTTTGCCAAGCTTCAGCCCTTTCTGTCCTGCTTTCGCGACCTCTGCCCAATCCGTGTAAGACCCCTGGCCTCATGCGTGTCATGTGTTTCTTTTATTTGACTCAGGAAATAATCCAACTCCCACCCTGGGTCTTGTTCCACTATCTGGGCCATCATGAGTTGGATGGGCTGCACGCTTGTTTCCTGGCTTCGGAGGAACATAAACACATCCCTCTCGTAAGGAAGAACATCCCCGAGGGTGACAGCAGCAGCACGGAGCCTGGCCTGCGTGTGCTCCACACGTGGGGAGCTGTTACTTCCCCGCTGTCATCGCTGTCACCCAGAAGGGCAGGAGGGCGGGAGTGACAGTGGAGTCTCTCCAGGCACCTGCTTCAGGAGCCCTCCCCCCGTGTGGGGCGCCAGTCCCCTTCCTGCCAAGGCCTGGACCCCAGCCTGGGTCCCTCCCTCCCCTCTCTTCGCACACCACCTCATGTTGGCACATAGGACAGAATCGTCCTGCACAAAGAGAACTTATTATTATTATTTTTTAATTATCTAGTTCTCCATAAAGGAGGGAATCCGCCGGGCCCAGCTCCGCTGCACACGTTTTCCCATCTTCACAACTCCCTCTCCTCCAACTTAGCAAAACCTGTCAGAAGGGGTACAGTACTCCACCCAGCATTGCCTGGTTACTTGACAATTCGGCCCAGATGGCCAACCCCGAATTTCCCAATGCAACTCCACCAGGAAGATGTAACTTTCATTAAAAAAAAGAATAGGAAACAACCCAAATTCAAAACTTATAAAAATGCTCACCTACAAAAACAAACACGCAAGCAAACAAGCTGATCAAACAAAGCGGGTGTGAGTATCGGGGCCTCTGTTCGCAGAGGAAACGGGCTTGGGTAGGACTGGTAAGTCCCAGGCCCAAGTCCAAGCCCTGGGCCCTGGCAGCTGGGGCCCAGCAGGTTAGGGGGAGAGGTGACAGGCACCTGAGGGGCTCTGGTCTTTTGACCCCTTGATCCTTGACCTCCGCAGATGTATGTCTGTTCCCTGGGCAGGGGCTGGGGGCAGCCGGAGCCCAGTCCACTGCTGAAGCTGCTCCCGCGCGACCAGGGATCCACCCCAGCAGCCCTGTCTGTGCGGCGCCCTTGAATGCAGCCTTGTCCGCTGGCTGGAGCTCAGCTCCGCATGGGAAACGCACGCTCCGCCTGCAAAGCCGAAGGCCTCTGTTTAGCTGAGCTTAATTCCCCAGCCCCTCACCCTGGCAACGGGTCTTTGGGGGATTTACACCTCATGCATCACAACAGGGGAGCAGCCATTCAGCAAGTTGGTTGCAGCGGCGGGGAGAGGGGGGAACCCCACAACACAAAATCAATGTGCCTCCCCCCCACCAAGAGCACAGCCACAAAACCAAACAGGATCAACAATAAAAATTTCCCACAAGTCCATTGGGCCTTGGCCGACAATCAACAACCAAACAGGAATTCAAACTTAATCAAACGTTCATGTCTTCCTTGTAAAGCTCAGGAAATTAGTAATTGGTTTTATAATTGAATTTTCTGATCACGTATCAAAGGAATGGGTCCTGCCAAAGGCCAAGGCATGGCCTGCCTCCTGCAAGGACGGCCAAGGCAGCTCTGAAGGTCGGGGAGGGGCGCTGACGGCTGGGGCTGAGGACAGAGCCCGGCATTTCTAACCAGAGGCGCCAGCGACAGCAGAGCCTGCCCTGGCCAAGGGGTCGCCCCCAAACACTCACCCCAGGAGCCCTGTGTTTCCGATTCCTTTAGCAATGGTGGCCGAGGCACGCAGGGGGAAGATGGGGAGGCAGGAGGCAGGGAGACCGTGTGGGTAGGGAGTGAGGAGGCCCGTGGGGCAGGGTCTGGGCAGAGACTGGGAAGCCATAGGGGCCAAAGCCATTCTGCAAAGGAAGAGGGACACAGGAGAGGCAGGAGGAGTCCCAGGTGTTTGCCCTGAGCTACTTTGAGGAAGGAGGATTTTCAACATAAAGAAGGAAGGTAGAAGAATTGCTCTGTGCGGCCTGGTTCCGCACGGGTTGGGGCTGGGGCGCTGACGGGCCTGGGCACCCAGGGTGCTAACAGGTCCAGCTCAGCTTTTGGGAGCCCTCGCTCGCTGCTAACAGTCATTTCATTTAGTCTTCACAGCAGCCCACGGAGATGGTCATTTTGGTCCCCATTTTACAAACCAGAAATGAGAGATGCAGGGGGCAGAGGTGCAGGGGCTGCCCACCCGTGAGCCGTGGAGCTGGGACTTGGACCCAGGATGGTCAGATCCCAGAGTCCAGAAGCTCAACCCCGAGGGCAACACAACCTCTCTCCCTGCAGAGAGAAACATCGCACGGCCCAAGGGAAATAACGAGAAAGGGTTCCCCACATGCAGAGATGGAAGCTTGAGAGCCAACCAATCGACATTCATTTGTTCACCAGCTTAAAAACGACCCTGGTAAAGGCGAGCCATAGACTGGAGAAGATATTCACAACACGTGTATGTCAAAGAATGTGTATCCAGGATTATCTCAAAAAACCACCTCTCACAACTCATTAGTAAGAAGGCAAACAACCCATTAAAGAGAAAGAATAAAAGATGTGAGCAGATACTTTACAAGAGAAGACAGACATGGCCAAAAGGCACGTTCAAAACTTACTACATATCACTAGTCATTGGGGGAGTGCAAATTCGAAGCACGATGGAGTATCTCTCCATGCGAACGGGAAAAGGACAATTCCACACGTCGAAGACAGCGTGGGACAGCAGGGGCTCTCACACATTCTAAAGAGTACAACCACGTGCCCAAGCCGGTTTGGCTCAGTGGATAGAGCATCGGCCTGTGCACTGAAGGGTCCCGGGTTTGAATCCAGTCAAGGGCACATGCCTACGTTGTGGGCGTGATCCCCAGTAGGGGGTGTGCAGGATGCAGCCGATCAATGATTCTCTCTCATCACTGATGTTTCTATCTCTCTCTCCCTCTCACTGAAATAAAAATATATTTTTTAAAAAAAGAAAAGAAACAACCACTTTGGAATGCAGTTTGGAAGTTTCTCATGAAGTTAACGCACCCTTACCATATGACCTAGCAGTTCCACTCCTGGGTATCTATCAAGAGAAGTAAACATGCATACCCACACAAAAACCTGCGTGTCAGAGTCTAGCGGTATTATTATTCTTCACATCGACCCCTGGAATGACCCCTTAGATGCCCATCGACAGACGACTAGACAAACAAAGGGTTTATACTTGGGGTGAGCCTGAAGCTTGGTCATAAAGAAGTACCAAGGTGTAATGGAGAGAGACAGCAGCAGAATCCGCAGCTGGGCAGAGGACCTGGGAGGGGCAGAGTTTGTCGGCATCCAGACCCCTCCAGTCTGGGGTTTTGAAGGGGGAGGAGAGCAGCCCCTAATTCTGCAAGCCTGGTCCCGCGGCTGTTTGGGGCTTGACCAGGGCGGGGAGAGCACTAAACGGCCTGCGGATATTCGGATATCCGGTAGCAGCATCCCTCACCACTCGGCTCGGAGCTCCAGGTGTCCTGGTGGTGCCATGGGACACCTGCCTACGCGCTTGGGGTGTGGGGTGAGGATCAATGAAATGTGTGCCTAATGTTTGAGACAGTGCCCAGAGGCACCCCTGCTACCACACCTCCACCCTCAGCCTGTTCCGGGGGCTCTGCCATCGCATTCTCATCAAGCAAACAGCTCCTGAAATCCACCTTCCCCCTCCCCACCACGCAGGGAACCTTCCAGATTGATCAGAACGAAACTGGCAGCTTCACATGGCCGGTCATCTCCCCCAGCCGCCCTGAGATAGGGTGACCCTTGACACAGACGCAGCTACCATAGCACCTGACAGTGTTTTTCTGCCCGATTTGGTGGCTTCACCCCCACGGCTCATGGTCTCTGGGTGCCGGTCCTCACTGGTGCTCCCGTGGGGCTGGGATGGTGCCCATGGCCACATGGGGGTGGAGGACTGTCTCTAGTGGGGGGGCCTGCCGGCTGTGGGAACACCAACTCCCCCCTCTAGAGAAGTCAGTCTTCAAGGGGCACACAGGCCCTGCCTTTGAAATTCGGGTTTTTTTTTATTTTTTAAATTTTTTAATATTTTTATTGATTTCAGAGAGGAAGGGAGAGGGAGAGATAGAAACATCAATGATGAGAGAGAATCATGGATCGGCTGCCTCCTGCACGCCCCACACTGGGGATCGAGCCCGCAACCCTGGCATGTGCCCCGACCGGGAATCAAACCACGACCTCCTGGTTCATAGGTCGATGCTCAACCACGGAGCCACGCCGGCCTGGCTTTTTTCCTTTTCGATACAAAGGAAGAGCCTTGTGCTTGGTCATCACCTAAACTTAGCAATTAAGTTCTGCCAGGAGAATCGACAGGACGTTTGTTTTGGAATCGATGGAACTGAAGTGGTGGGGGCGGGTGGAGGGGAGAGCGTAGAAGCCTGGTTCCTCTGTAGGACCCTGGGGGACGAGGGACTTGGCTGCGGCCGCACAGCAGAGGGAGCTGGGCTGGGCCTGGAGCCAGCTTCTCTGTGAAGGGCCCTGTTCCTCTGCTACCCAGCTGAGGCCTGGCACTCCTCGGGTTCAGGGGCCCTCACCTGACCAAGACCCCGCCCCTCGGTGCTCAGTCTCCGGCTCCTGCCCGTCCAGTGTGAGTCACAGCGAGGAAAGACTGGCCCCCACGGCCTTTCTCCCCACCAGGCTGTGCGGCTGCTGCGATAGGCCGGGCGGGCTGCTTTCCCACCTCCCACTTTTCCAAGAGAAAGCGGCCTCGTTCAGAAGGGCAGGCCGGAGTCTCCTCCTCCCACCACCCAGCTCAGAATCTACAGGGACTTGGGGTCCAAGCCTGTGCCCCGGCTCGCTCCCGGCACGCTCCGGATGGTGGCGACGAAGCCGTCTCTCCACCCACTCACCCGTGGCTGGCGAGCCCCAGGAGCCGGGGAGGGGGCAGACGAAACCTCCACCAGGGCAGACGAGGCCTTCACTGCTGTCAGCATCATGGCCTCATCTGCCCACAGGCCAGGTGGCCACACTGTGGCATCAGATCCCACGGCCGCTTCCCGGGACGCATCGGCCACGTGCTATGCACAGAGCTCAGGGCCCGGGCCCAGCTGTGGCGCCCAGTGCCTTTCCTGGGGG